AAGGTAACCTTCATGTGACCTTCAAATTACTCTTCAAGGTCAAACCTATGGTACCATCTTATGTCCCCCTCGAAACCATACAACTTTTGTCTGAAACATTTTTTCATATCTCTTTTAGTTTTTTAAAAAATCGACTGTATAAATTAAAATGGCCCACCCTGTATATTATAAAGAGAATAAGACCATACTAATTTTGGTGAGTGAATACTTATGCAATTACTATACCTTGTTTAGACATAATTTCTGTAAATATTGAAAAAATTAATTAGCATTAGTAAATATCATCTATTACTAAAAAAGCAAAATTTATTTTTGTATGTCTTATTTTGGAAAAAATATTCTTTTATATGTGAAACTAAATGTGAAAAAAATTGTATTATTACTAGTAAAAAGAGAACAGAAGTAAATACAAAAATTAAAAATAAAATATATACATACTATATCTCATTCCCTTCATAAATTTCATAATTATCACACATTCTCTTAGTTCCAGCTTATTAATAACTTTTTACAGCAATAATACTCCCTTTTTATACTACAATCTATGTTTTGCGGTAAAAGTTCAAGTATTTATTGCAGCCATATTGGACTGATAACGTTAGAAGCAAGAAAACACTATGAAGATGTTTTGTAATTGAGAGACTAGACTTGTAAAATATACCAAAAATTTCCCTTTTGTTTGAGTAATCAATAACTCGTATACATATGTAAAATTGAATTTTACCTCATCAAGAACAAAAACAAGCTGTAGACAGTTGCTAAACTGAAATAGTTGCTTTCACACATTTTAGCTTTTTAGCACTACAATACAAGTAATTTAAATATAAAAACGATGCACTTAAATGACACTATACAGTGCAAAAATAATTTAGCTTTTTGACGTATCAAAACGCATATATACATGTATGCATACATACATTTTTATGTCAACAAAATATAAAATAAGATTCTTGCTTCTGTCGTTTTGAAAGAATTCATCCCTGTCAATGCAGATTTGGCAACTGAATACCAAGAAAAGTATGTTCTTTATTCTTTAGTTTTAACCATCATTTTCTATAATTACAGACAATTTCCATTTTCATATTTGAAGTTGCAATTTCAAAAAATAAAGAATAATAAAATTATTGAAATGTCTTTAATAAAGAGACAAAATTATTATTTAACTTGCTCATGCTGTTAGAAATTACAAAAGCTTTCTTTGATACAAAAGCTTTATTTTATATGTAGTTTCTACATTTCTTTCCCTTTCAACTTCTGTTACAATGTTTTTGATGGAAAACTCATAGCGTTCTCTATTGGCAGAATTGTTCCAATGAAAACTTGCTGTAAAATATACGTACTGAATGCATACTAAAGCTTGTTCATAGTCAATACTTATTGAAGGTTGTCTTAAATACATGTTCGAAAATTATCTAGCCAAACAATAATTCGTACGGATGCTGTATAAATCATTTTACTGGCTAAGACATACTTCAAAAAGTATTTAATACAATTCTTAAATTAAGACCTGACTCTGTATGTACATTATGTACAAGTCTTAGTGTGTACTCAGTGTACACCAGTTCTGCCAATAAAAAATGCTATCAGTGCTGTTATTTATATTTTGCAATACATCTCCTTTCATGTCAGCACGAGATTTTAGTAAATAATTGACGGTAATTATCTGATAGTTAAAAAACAAATAATTTTATAAAACAAAAACTAAAATAAAAATTACTCTATTTCTATTTTTTCATTACCTGTTTGTTGTTTTATTCCTACTTGTTGTACGTAACATCAACATTGTAGACATAAAGCTTGCGATAATTGCTACATAACTTCTAATGATATCTTGGATTCTTCTTCAATTACAATCCACGCCTTTCTCTTAAAAAAATTTTTTGCTTGTTGAATATTATTATATTTCCACAATTTTCTGTAACAATACCAATAATAATACCAAAACATATAATACCAGAATATTACTTCATATACATATAACATATAAGATATTTTTTACCTTTTGAATAAATGATGATTATTTACCCACAATATATCTAGTTTTGATCATCCTATACAATGTTGTGTAGCACACTGTAACAAAAATTATAGCAAGTATGAACATATTTTATTGATGATAAAATCTAACAAGATAGTCTTACAAGCAATATGTAAAATTATCTTGACTAGGTTAATTTTATTTCGAAGATTATCTTATAAGCGGTAAATTCATAGTCTACAAATAAGATTGCCTTCATGAAGAAACAAATGTTCAAACAAATCTTAAGAATCTATAGATAATAGTCTTGAAAAACTAACTTTGTATAACTTGTACTTAATACTAACTAAACAGGATTATTAAATTTTATTTAACAATTAAAAGTTCTAATTTAATTTGTATTGAGATATAAAAGAAAATATTCATGTAAATTTAAATTTTTTCCTTTGGTTCTTTTTAACACTAAAATTATGCAATTCCTATTATTGAAAATTACATAGAAGTTATTATCTTTGACTAATGAATGATGTAGATATAGTATATGTAACAAATAGAACTATCCGAGTAACATGTTAATATAAAACATTAAGTTTAACTAGAGGGAGGTCCCAGGAATCCTGGTTGGGGTAATATTTTTCGCAATAAGAATTTTAATTGCCAGATACGGTCAATAAAAATCATTGATGTTATTATATTTTATCTCTGAAGCGCTATAAATATAGTAACATAATTACATTCATAAACTTTATCCAAATATCGATTTAAGGAACTCTGTTCTGTCTTCTATATGTGTCTTCGCTTTCCTGTTCCTTATCTCATTATCAGTCTCCCTTTGTTTAACTTCAGGCAATTTAAATGGTTTCTCCTCCCCTCGCTCTTTTTTCTTACGCAGCTTTTTACTTTTCTCTACATTATACGAAAAGAAGTTGACCTCTCTTTTAGCTTGTGCAATTTCTGTTAGAAGTCTTTGTTTATGAACTGCACGTTCATATGCTAAACGTTCACTCAAATGGATCCATTTAAATCTGTAAAAAAAATACAATGTACACAATAAATATGCAATAAATGAACACAGGTTCACAATAATGAAAATATTTTGAAATATTCTAATACAAATTATGAAAATGTTTATCTTACCTTGGTAAGTATTTAATATTCCACACAACATCGTAGAACTTGCTCTTCTTTCTTGTAGATACTTGAGTGTTATTTAACGTCTGCGCTACAAATTTGGCTACTTTCTTGCTTTCAAACTCTATCCAACCTTCAGTGAAATCCTTGACTGCTTTCTTGGATTTCTTTTTATGTTTCATTGAATGTGCCTCTGTATATTGTAATATTTTCAATTAAACACCATTAAACTCACAATCAATAATTTAAAATAATTTATTTGTTTTTAAAAATATATTTTATATTTGCATAAAATTATATAACCAGATATGATTTACAACTAAATTTGAGGCTGGACTATATGGTCCATATTCTGAATCCTCTTTTATCAATAAAAGTGCTACTAAAATTGAAGGATTCTTATCAGCTCACAAGATCTTTTAGACTTTCGTCGATAAAAAAAGAATTCAGAAAATAGCCGCTTGATTGATCAACGTTGCAATAAAATTTTTGAAGACCAACCATTATCAGCTAGCTGCAGATACACCCTGCCTACTTGACCGTAATCCGAAAACATCTCCCGGATCATCGTGACGTTCATGTATTTCGGAATTGTGGACAAATAAATTATTCCTCTCTTAACCTTTTTGCAGAGTCTTTCAACTTCGGTCTTGGCAATTTCTTTTCTAGCAAGCGATTTATCTTCCGCATTGCAGTTGATCGTAAAATTATCTCTGTTGCTTTCATCCTCTTGATCCATTTTTGTAAGTTATTCAACAAGAGATACAATAGTATGTAAAATGTTGTAAAATTTTTTTTTTGTTCTCCCTCTGTAGGAACGCCGTTAGGTTATTTAGCGTGTTGTAAAATGTGTTACAATAAAGTTTTAAAGCACAGACTTTCTCTACACACATCACACAAAGTATCTATAAATCCGCCATGCCTCATCCGGTGCACAGACTTCTATTACATAAAGCTGGAAGCACAGTTGAGCACAGTGAAGCGGGAAGCAGTGATGCCGTTGGATGCCGTTTGAGAACGTCAGCCACCGGCCACGTTGCGACAGCGTTGGTGGGAATAGAGTGGGGATGACTCCCGTGCCGCCAAGAAGGGCTGCGTTCAGAAACGTCACCCGAATGCACCGGTATATTATTTTATCCTTGTTTAACATACGGTGAGCAACAAGGATAGAATAATACGCTGGAGTACTCGGGTGGTGTTTCTGAACGCAGTCAAGACTAGAGACAGAGACTACGTTTACACGGCTTCTAACATCGATTTAGTAACGTCGATGTTATAACTCCTACTTAAAGTGAGTTGCGTTTACACGTTTAGGCTTATCTTATTCCCATCAAGCTGAAACAGCTTAATAACTTTCGAGTGAAGTGAGTCAAAGATTTCCATTAGTACCAATATAAAAGTACGAAAAATTAGATGCTTGTGGTAGGATTGTGGCCTGAATGTAAAAAAATCTGTAAACAAAGTGAACTTATGGGTTACGTTATGAATTATTAAATATTTATTTGTCTATTAAAATGTAATATAACTAACAAATGTGAAATTAAAATTTAAGATTGTTATTGTTTTATGCCGAAACAGGATGAGTACATGAGTTTATGACAGCAAATTCATATCATCAAATCTAGATTTTATTAGGAGTACAAATAAATAGTTAAATAAATAAATAAACAAATAAATAAGTAGGGGGATAATGAATCAGATAATTAAATAATAAGTTAAGTGTAAGAGTCAAAAGAACAGTCAAGGTACATAAAGGTAAATGATAAATAATAAGAAATCAGAAAATGTATGAATAAATTAAAATTAATTAATTAATTGATGAGCTCATGGACTCACATGTCTCGGTAGCCAGTAAATTTTAATAGCGATGTTAAACATTTTTCTAAGTTTTCGAGCAACAACCATACGCTTGAAGATCTCGAACAGAACTTATGGTATTAGC